ATTTTTTATTTTGCAATGAAAGATTCATTTCGAGCTCAACTTAGTTGGTAAGAAAAAATATGATTGGACAAAAATTTGTATATGATACATAATAATTACAATTAAATTACAACTAAATAACCGTAAATATTTATATGTAGATGTATATGCATTAATTATTCTTTAATTTCCACATTAAAATAATGTACACTAAAAACTTAGGCTTAGGAGTCGAGTGCCCATTGCTTAATACACTTTTCAATAATACGATTTGACGCATTCTTCTCTCTTTTATTTCTTTTTTCAATAATTTCCTAGTTTGTTCGATTTTGATTTAGTTTTGTGTTATTGCACAACAATATCTTCATTTTGTTCTAAATTTAATTACTGCTGATACGTTTTCTTCTTCTTGTATCTAATTACTAAATCACTGGATTTTCCTATGCATTTTCTTTTCAAGTTTTATTTTAAAGCAGAAAATTACAAAAATGTTTTTTTTTTTTTTGCCTAAATAATTTACATGGAGTTAAGCTTAATTACCTTTTGTTGTATATTTTGCATTTGTTTTTGCATTTGCCCGCTCGTGCTATAGACTATTTTCTCAGTTATTGTTCGCTTAAATGCTACGCCTAATATATATTTGATATTCGATCTACACAAAAATTCGCCAATTACTAAAATTATGCAATTATCGTAATCCATATATGTATATCATATATGTATATATTGTATATGTGTATATAGTTATCGTATGTGGTATTAACTATTGCTCAGTAAGTGTGTTTTGCGTGTTTGGCAACAGCAAAAAAAGAAAGAAAGAAAATTCAAATGAAATACAAATATTAAATCAATTATAATATTAAATGAATTATTGCGCCAGCTATAAATCGTTTAAATAAATTTTGTTTCATTTCCTTTTTGCTCGCTCAACACGACGATATCACAACAAAATGTACCAAGTAGAAGAATTAGTTATCGTTATCAGTTATCGATAGCCACAAATCGATTCACGTAAATGGTGGCGGCAGCACAATCGGATCGAAGCTCTGCTGTAGCATCGAAAAGTTACTGAAATTCGCCATGCGCCGATAGCCCCACAGCTCCATGGCCTCCGTGCAAACATCCTGAATTTGTTTGATCTGGGAAAGTTACCAGAAATTTGTACATGTAGAAATAGAAATAACAATTTGAGTATACCTACCTCCTCCGCCTTGAGATCCTGTTTCCAGTGGAATGGCGCCGATCTGGAATCACGATATGTGGAACTAACGCCGCCCTTGTTCTCCTTGGTATGCGTATCCAGAAACTCTTCGACAGCCGGATCAAAGGGCAGTCCGTAGAACTGTAAAATATCCTGAGTCATGTCATACGGATTCAGCGAGAGATCCTCATAGCGCAAAGTCCTATGCAAGAATAATATTCAATTATAAAAAGACCAAATTAAATATATCAATGTAAACTCACCTAAAACGTCCTGGATATGCTTTCAGCAGTTTCTCCGCCGTCCTGTAGTCATCGACCAGATCCTGACAGACCAGCGCGGGATCCTCGCAATCCTCGTTGCCCGCACACCAGACGCGATGACGCCGAGACTGCATTGTGCCCCGCGGATCTCGGACCAGCAGCACGATACGCACATTAGATAGACTGCAATTATATGGAAATTCGAGAGTGTTATGCATAAAGTATATGATTAAGCGGAACAATAATTGCATGCACTCCATTATAACTGGCGTAATAGTTGGGCAGTCAGCGTGAAGTTCGCTGTGCCGTAACAATGCCATTCAATTAAGTCAAATTAAAAGTTTCAATTGTGCATCATAATTGCTGTTTAATGA